CGTTCGCTTCGGCACACAATCAAACGCTAGACTGATCTCCCGGTTCCACAAATTAGACACTACTTCGAGGACCAAAAGACTAGTGAATAGAGTTAAGGGATGGAGAGAGAGAGAGAGAGAAAGAAAGAGAGAGAGAGAGAAAGAGAGAGAGAGAGAGAGAGAGCACATTAATAACTTAATTGATTTTCGTGATAGTGATTGAGATAGTGGTCCGCAAATGTGTAACATTTCAGACACCAAACCCACATAATTAAATTACAATTCATTTGTCATATAAAACAGAATACGTGTAACCAATACTGCAAAACATTGATACATTAACAGCTCTATTGAATGCATTTAATACATGTATAATTATATTCATTATGTAATTCATATTTGTTTGGCGAGATGTATGAGCCCTTCGTGACAACCCGGGCGACAGACTTATGAATTCCCATAAATAGACTCTCAATTCCAGATATTTCTTCATTTTATTATACAATTCCTGGAATTCTTTAATACAATCTTGTATTTTGACATTTTATTACATTTGGAAGAAATCTTATTATAATTATAGGACAAGTATTAAATCAAAAATGTTTTTTTATGAATTTTATAACAAATGGCAAAAAATCTTGAAATATAACTGAAATTGTATACTCCGCCCTAATATCAAAATATTGTTAAATAAGACAAATATATCTTAAAACAATTTATTATAGTCTAAGTTATATATGAAATTCTTGTGATCGAAAAATTCCTTTGAAAACATTACATATTATGCAATTCACTACATGTTACAGTTATATAATTTTATATTATATTATTACAAGAATTGAGATAATTGCTAATAAATGATGACACGTGTGACCCAAACAGTCTGACCCAAGCGCACAAGAATGCCATCCGTGGTATCCGAAAGATCAAGTATTTCGTGGCCCGAAGGAAGTTCCAACAGGCGAGGAAACCCTATGATGTCCGCGATGTCATTGAACAGTACTCTCAGGGACATCTCAATATGATGGTCAGGATTAAGGAATTACAGCGACGGTAATCCTATTTGCCATATAATTCAATTATAATGAAATCACTCTTAACACTAGGAATATTACAGTATATTAGACTCTAATAATTAGAATATATGAAATGCATTGATATTAAGCTATACTGTATAATTTAATGGATATTACAACGAGTATAGGATTATTTATTTTTAGCTCCAACAATGTACATTTCCTATCTATGCTCTCATTAATTGCTTGATATGTTTGATTGAATTTTTATATTCAATAAATTAATGTATTTTATTGAATGAAAGGTTGGACCAGACGTTAGGAAAGCCGGGCTCTCACCTGAGTATTGGCGTCAAATGCATACCAATCGGTACTCGACTCTACCGAATGGAGCAACAAATCAATTTAATCGATAACAAAGTGGACAGCATTTTACAGATACTCAACATATTCATGGAGAAGGGAAAGCCATCTCTCCTGAAAAGGACCCAATCGATCGAGGAGTCTGTCTGACAGGCCATCCGCTACTTTCGGTGTATTTTTGTTATTTAACTTATGGTTCACACGATTTAGTTCAGCACTCGTGAACCCAAAAGCCTTAAGTGACCCACACTTCACGGCCCCGATATCTGTTGTATACGGGACGGGGATTTGCAACCATGTTTATAAAAGACTAAAGAATAATAAGGAATGCCTTTCAGTTAGAAATTAGTTGAAAATTATGTAGGAAATGGATGCTAACGGACACCCATACAACTCATTTATACTACTGTGATATTAACTCATATAATATTCAGACATTGCATTAATGGCAATCATAAAAGCATTACATTGTATTAAATTAGTGTTCAATAAATAGTTAATGTAATGAATGATTGAATTCGCAAAACAATATTCTGTATATAAAAATAAATAGCAATCGTAAACAATAATTATATACTGAATATGAAGTGTAGCACAAAGATTAGTCTTAATTTAATTCATTAATTTTTGAGCCCATTGTTATTAATTGACATTTATTTGTATGAATTGTTTTTATCATAAAATAAAATTATTTAACACAATTCTACTCTATACATGCTCAATTTATATAAAAATATCTTATTCTTTTCATAATTATATTTCATGTGCCTATTCATTCATAAACTAAGATTGATTATATTTTCATTTATAAATTATTTGGATAATATTTCATATAATTCGTGTAGTTATATGTTTATTTAACCAATACTAAAATCATTTTAAAGAATCTTATTCAACGAAATCTTACAAAATTGGTAAATATAAATATTTTTTAATAAATTTAAAAGTAATCGAAAGTTGATTACTAACGCTAAGTAATTCAAAGTCTAATATGAATTTGTAACTAATAAATAAAATAGAAATAATTCTTGGAAACTATTAAAATAATTTTTGTGATAATGAATATTGATAAGCTATATCAACACTTATAAAGAATACCACTGAGTCCATTTGTACTAGATACTAAATAAACTTTTAAGAGAATTTCAAAATATTTTTATAAGTATTGTTCGTTTTATAATCATTTTGGTCTCTATTTAAATATTATAATTAATTCATTCATTCAATATCGCACAAATTTTAATGAATGAATTTTTAGTTTGTAATTGAATTTCAAGTTATACTTGAAAGGTGTAATTGTTTATGCAGCCTATTTTATGAATTTATAATATACTTTATTATAATTAACAATATGAAATAAGTGGTCATTAATTGTAATTTTACCCACTAAACATGTAGTACATAAATCAGTACAATTTAGTACACTATATACAATCAATCAACTTATCAAGCTATTAAGTGCATAATTTAAGTCTAAAAATATCAGTTGTTTGCTCTTTCATTATCAACTCATATGAGTTTAACCATAAGTCCCCCGCAAACTACTATCAAATTGCTATACAACTATGAAACTATGGCAGGGCTGGTAGGGTTAGTAACTTTCGATGTCAAATCAGGTGACAATTGTCTGTTTAATGTATTATCATTTTCAATAGTCAACACCAGTTTTGGACTTTAGATTAGATATATTGCATTCAAATTGCACTCAAATCTGACACATATTTAAGATTACTTCCCAACGATTGTCTTTCGACAACACATTGGGCCCTAAGAAGCAGCGGTCGACACAATCATTGCTTCAACAAAAAGTGTCAATTATTTATGAAAAACTTTTTATTTTATTTAAACCTTTAATAAAAATCATGAAACTATTAACACATAAACAGGTAATGAATTATTTCCATACCGTTCCTCATATAATACTCGACTGTCTATCGAAGGACAGGCTGTTATGATAAGCCAGTTATCGCTGCGCTCGCGATGTTTGGCAACAAACGCAAAACGGCGCCAAATGAGCTTGCTCGATTTTCACACTAAAAAGCACAATAAAGACAAAATAGCCATGGTCACCTGCTATGACTATACCAGCGCGCGTATCGCCTCTGATACCGGCGCCGATTGCCTACTCGTGGGCGACAGCGTAGCCATGACTGTCCACGGCTTCCCGGACACCCTCCCGGCGACCGTAGCCATGATGTGCGCCCACACGGAGGCCGTACACCGCGGCGCCGGCGGTATGTTTCTCGTGGCTGACCTACCGTTCCTTAGTTACCGACAATCGCTAAGTAAAAGTGTCGGCGCTGTTTACGAACTCATGCGGGCCGGAGCTCAAGCCATCAAACTGGAGGGCGCCGGTAGTAATCTGTCGCTAATCAAGCATTTGGTAGAGTCGGGCGTTCCGGTGATGGGCCACTTGGGTCTCACCCCGCAGTCGGTTCGGGGTTTGGGTGGCTATAGAATACAGGGCCGGACGGAAGCCTCAGTCAAACGATTGCTCGACGACTCCCTGAGTCTACAAGAGTGCGGCTGTTTTGGGCTCGTCCTGGAGTGCATACCGGCGCCGGTGGCCAAAGAGATTACCGACGCTCTGACAATACCGACAATAGGTATCGGTGCCGGACCTCATACTGATGGTCAAGTGCTGGTCTGGCAGGACATGTTTGGTCTGAACGACGATCTGAAGCCCAAATTTGTCCGACACTTCCTCAACGGTAGCCAACTCTTCAAACAGGGTATCAATGAGTACGCGAAGGCTGTAAAAGATGGGTCGTTCCCCGACCGGCAACACTGTTATGAGTAAAGGGCGCCGGCGTTAAAAAATTACCTCAAATTTAATGTCAATAAAAAGTTTAAATAAAATACTTATTCATGAGTTTCAAGAATATTCTGGTGTTTAACTTAAGGTATTCAATAGTAAGCCTATTGTATGCCTAACATTAGGTACCGATGAGTATGTGTAGACACAACACAACGCTGTAGATTATAGTCTGGTTGACAGCACCGGTAGTTTCTGTGATGGCCTATGGTTTCACTTCCGATACCAGCCCTCCCGGCCCTCTGTAAGGGCCGTTTGAAAGCCAAGTCTCATACTATTGACGGCACACTCATAGGTGTCGCCAATGCATGCAATGCTGTCTCACGTGATATGCAATGCATTCAATACAACAACACATGAGTCAGTCATTGAAGGCGAGACCACAACAACACCACTGAAGACATCACTCAAACACATCCACCCATCAGACCACTTGTGTCCACACAATACCATAGCAGATATGGAGGTAATCGTCGGCACATACGAAGAGTATCTCATCGGATATCAACTCAAACGCCAAGACGTATGTATCAAATCCTGATCCGTACTTTCACGTGATTATCATCGCTACCGCTGATGGCTAACCACTCACACCACCTGCTTATCGCACTCACCCTATAGGACACGTATGTCTTGGAGCAGACCTTTGCAGACAGAGCCCACTCGGGAAGCGTGAGGTGTCTGTCGACCACCTCGAAGGTGATGGTCAGCGGCAGCACCGATGAGGTGATCCACATCTACAACATGAACCGGCGCTCAGATAGCGGTACTCTTCAGCACCACTCGGGAACCATCACTCACTTGGAGTTCTTCAAGACGACACACCTGTTTAGCGGCTCCGAAGACGGAACGGTATGCGTTTGGGACACAAGGAGTTGGGTCTGCGATAAGACACTCAGAGGGCATAAGGACGCCATCACTGGTCTCAGTGTTCATCCATCGGGAAAGTTGATGCTATCGGTGTCCAGGGATAAGTCGCTGAGGACGTGGAATCTCATCAAAGGTCGGTGCGCTTACGTGACTAACATCAAGGCAGTGGCCCATCTGGTCCAGTGGGCACCGGACTCGACATTCTTCGCGGTGGTCATTGATAAGCGCATCGATATCTACGACATCACTATCGGCGGTGTCGTCCATACCATCGATTTCGGCAAAAGAGTTAATTGTATTTTGTTTTTGAATGTAAGTCTCGAAGGGATTATGAATCTGTGCTTAAGATGTTTTGGATTAAGATCTGATTTATTGTTGTCTTTGGTATAGAATGATGTGATAGCCATCGGCGGTGAGTCCAACGACATTGAGTTATACGACATCAGCAACAAATGCACTATAAATACATTTACGGCTCATTCAAATCGATTGAAAGCACTCCAGAAGACGACATCACATCCGGACATAAAAGACAACAAATTATGGTTGACTTCTGTGTCCAGCGATAGCTATATAAAAGTCTGGGAATTGGATCTCTTGGAGGTACTGACCACTCATTTAGTAATTAGTGTTTTATTTTATTAATGAAATTATTTTTTCAGCTCAAAAGTGAGCCAAAACTGATCGCATCGGTGGACACGACATGTCGGCCCACGTGTCTGTCCGTCAGGACGTTCACAGACAGCGATACGGCGGCTGCCGATGAGAATAATAGTCAGACCACCGATGCGTCGGTGAATGTGGTCTCCGATGAGAAGCCGAAGACAAATGTGTCGAAAAAGAGGAAAAATAAGTCCAAAGAGAAAATTGCGAACAAAAAGGTTTAATTGACTCCAAAATGACTAAACTATTGAATTTTGTGCTCATATTTGGTGACCATTTGCATGAATATTATTATTATTTTGTATTTTGATTTTCTTATGAAGAATTTATACGAAAAATATATATTTGTTTGTAATTATGAATTGAATTTTTCATTTGATATAAACATTTATCCGCGTTTTAAATGATTGAATACACTATTAACAAGTTATTTAATTGTGATATAAGTTTATATGTCATACGAATGCATAGTTGTTTACTTTTATCGAAAGTGGACTTAATTTGTATAAAAAACTTTGAATTCTCTATTAAATAAAACATTTCATATGATTATTACGTTACGTTAAATGCAATGGGAATTAATAGGTGGTAGTGATTGACAAGTTATTTAGTTTAGGCGTATACTGTACTACCAGTGCGTGGTTTGGCATTGAATTTTGAGGAATAAATTGATTTTTTAAAAACATTAATCAAAAGAAGTTTTATTTTGACATAAATAATGGAAATGTATTTTTTGCTGTTTGACTGCTTATGCCATAGAAACAGGATTTCCAATAAATACAAAAATAATACAATAATTTTTTAATTACAATTACTAATTGTCAATTAGTTATCTAGCTCTTCAAACAACGCTAAACGGCTTTTATAATCAAATTTCAATTTAATCTCATTTTCCAATGATTTCCATTCAATCAACTCGAGTATTGGATTGTAATCCATGTCCTCTTCAGCATAAGTTTGTCGCATGAATTTGATCACAAAATTCTTGTCCTTATTTATCGTTATGTTAAATGAATTGTCCGAATCTGGGCCAGAATTTTGCATAACATTCCCATCGATTACATCCCTGTGCTCTAATAGCAATGTATGGAGTCTTTCAAACATTGGACTCAATTCTTGCTTCCTTTCGCCGATTAGTGAACTAATGATTTCAAACTCCAGTTCCTCGTTATTAAGAGATGTCTTGTTCTCCGATTGTCTCGATTGAAGTTCTTTCGCAAATCGTGTCAAATATTTTTCGCCTTCAAATGTGTCCCGAAATCTTAGGTCAAGTTTTTGGCAAAACTTCTGAATCGACTCCAAATGATTGCCATGATTTACAAATTGAATACTTTTCAAACGTTTCAGTAGTAATGAGATTAAAAACTATAAAAAAATTACAATTATTTATGAATTGATAAAAATAAATTTAAAAATTACAAACATTTAATGTAAGCGAAGTGGACAGGGGTTTGACATATGTGGGCACCGATTTATTTAGCACTTCCAGCGATGTGACAAAAGTCATGGGAAGTGTTTGTATTAAATCACTTATTGTCGTAAACATTGTCATTAATCCCTCTTCAATCAAATGATTGAAATCTATTTAAAAATACAATTCTTAGGAAACATTACAAAAATTATAAACAAGTCATGCCTTCGTATATGAGTTGATTAGAAGTGTATATCTCTTTAATCTCTGGAGTGACCACCGATGAGATCAGCGACTTATTTATCAATGCCTTTAGATTATGCATTAAATGTTTGTCAACTAATGGTGTGATTATCCCCTCGAGAGCGGTGTACCACCAGATACGGGGTTCGGTGCTTAAGATGGTTGACCCGTCAAACTCTGTCCAACTGTTATGCCTTTAAATTAATTAATATTTAAAATAATTTTGTAACAAATCATTGTTTTACATACTTCTCAATAAGTTTTTGCAAAACAATTGACAACAGGTTTGGCCTAAAGTGCTGCAAAAGTATTAATTCAAAAATATCTGTAGTTCTTGTGATTAAGACATCATCGGTGGTACGATTGGAGTCCATATCCAGTAAAACAAATGCAGAAAATCCACAATTTTTGGACAAAAATGCTCTCATTATGACTGTTGTCTCTAATTCATTGAATCCCTTATCGACACACAGTTTTGTGTTAAACCAAAATGAAGTATCCATTAGATTGGGACTAATGTATTGAATCCAATGAATTCTGGTATTATTATTATTGTTTTCCACACTTTCGGGTAAATTATTATTTTGTTTCAGATTTTCAATAAACTTCTCATTTGTGCTAATCTTGAGTATTAATTTCGTAAACAATATGAAACACGAGTTGTGAATATTATTTCTAGTCGTGTATAAGAAGTCTTTTCTCGAAAATGAATTCTTGAGCAACAAATCCATTGTATGGTTCAATAGGCACACTATTTCGTGGCTTTTCAATTGTGTGGCAGAAAAGTGATGAATGGATTCACTCAATACACACTCATAGATATCTCTACGCCCGTTGTAATAATTTAATTTAAAACTGCATTCAAACCAAAGTCTATTCATATACAGCACCCAATAGTGGACATTATTTGACAGCATTATATACGAGATATGTTTTGCCATCAATTGATTTGAGATTCTTTGCGAGATTTTTGTGAATTTCTCGCAATTTATGTGCATTTTATTCAGCCTCTCAATGATGTAGTGAATAGTGTTAAGTAATGTGTAGTTTTGTTCAATTGTCTCGTACTTGACATCATTAAAGTGGTGGACAAAGAAGTCTATGATATTAGCAGAGATGGCATACGAGAGGAATGTCTTAAACGAGTCCAAACAACAGAGGTATTCATAATCGTTGAAATGACTAAACACTTGCCAAACACAGACCAATATATTGATATATTTAAATGGACGGCAACTGTCGTATGAATTGCTATTAAAACACTGCAATTCCCTTAAATCGGCGTTAATTTTATTATAAATACTTTTGTGAAACAAATTCACATTAATGTTGGACTCAATGACTGCTTTCCAATTGAACTCAAACTGTTCATCAGTTTCGGGACTTTCCATAAGTCGCGGAAATTCTTGCTTTATTTGCTCTAAATTCCGGTCCAATTGTATCATACATTTCAAGAGTGCAATCAAATTATCAATGTTTGTGTTGAGTAGAGATAACTCAGCCGTGAATCGGACTTTCAATGTCTGTATGTATGGCATAACGAGTTGACTGTATTGCAGACTAATAGCCCCGAAATAACCACTTTTATATAATCTGAGATCAAAGTTAATCATCAAAACTAGACGATTCAGAAACCAGTCAATGGGTCTATCAGTGGATTCAATGGCATCCGACTCCAGTTTGCAGACTCTTATCGTATCAAACAGTCTCCATATGTCTAACCCCTCGTTAAACGTCTGTTTGTCTAACTTATTATCCTTCAAGTCATACAAGAAACCCAATTCAGAGCAAACCCTTTCAAAGTCCAACTCGTTTTCAAAGTAATCGCATCTAATCATTGAATTCATAATTAATTTCTCGATTTTATAGCTAATTGTTTCCCAAATGGAGTTGAGATTCACGTTAGAGTACGTGAGTTCAGCCGAGTTTGGACTGAACTGTTTGTTATCACCCGAATTGATCCAAAACAAAGAGTTTATACTAGTTTTCAAATGCAATATCAATGGGAAGAGTGCGTGAAAATATTGGTCACAATCATCGCGTTCAAGCATTTCTGCGATTGTCTCCAACGATGTCTGCAATGTATTCACGTCTATGTCTTCAATTGTCTTACTGTTTGACGACTTCTGGTTTGTTTCGTCATCTTTGACGGTGGGCTTGGATTTGGTTTCCGATAATAAGTCCGACAATTCATCGATCAATGAGTTGATTCTATACGTAGAAAATAAATTAATTAATGACTCATTAATAACGAGTAATAAAATAATCAGGGTTTAAAATATCATTCATATTTTTAGACACAAATCAAACTCTTAATTATTACAAAAAATAGGTTTAACATTGAGATCACAATTGATCTGCTATTTAATTATAAGGAAACTATTATTCAAACTCTTTTGTTGAATATTAATTGAATTTCGTTTGCTTTAATAAGGATTTTAATTACTTTATTATTTAATTGTATTTGAGGCAGTTTTCATTAAACTATAACTCATTTAATTGACAATTGAATGATGAGTGAGAAGCCCACGTTAACCACGTGTGAAACGGTGTCCAAACTATCACTACTGGCCGCCTATGACGACATGTGCCGTAACGGCAATAGTTTCATAGATAACATGAGCGACGAAAGTCTGTATTAATTGTCATTTTAAACTAAAAAACCTAAAATTCTTAACAAATTTGTAACATTTCAGACGTAATCAAAGAAATGGTCGATAAGTGTGAACACATGCGAAGGGAATGGCAGTCGACTCGCAAAGAGTTGACTCAATTAAGCGATGAGAACCAGAATCTGAAGCTAAGTGTCAAACAAATGGCAAACGATTTGCGGAGAGAGCGGTCCCGGAGGAAAGCCTTCCACAAGAAGCTACTAGTGTTGGGCAATCAATACGAGTTGTTGCGCGAGTTTGTCATCTCTAACATCCGGGACAACCGAAACATCGAAAAATTGTTCAGTCAATTGAATCTGACATCCGGTGAACTGTCGGACGAGCCATCGGATTATCAATCATCCGACGAAATCGACATGTCTTTACCCGCGTATATGGAGTATAGGAGTTCCCGCACCGATAGTGTACTCAATTCATAGATTACTATAGGAAAGTGCCATAAAATTAAGTGCGATATTCAATGTGCAATATACTGTATGTATATTATATATTTCAAGTGCTTTTTAGGTACTATACATTTGATTTGATTATCAATTTGTTTATTCAAACCTCTTATCTAAGCCTTCGCTTGAAGTGAACTTAAAATTGTTTGTTTCACTCATTGTATCAATAATTTTGAGTTATATTTTGCTTATAATCACGAATTAAATGACAATAAATGTAATTATTATATAATTCAGTCACAGATATTGGGAAAAATAAAAACATATAAAAAATCGATAATTTGTGTTATCATTAGCCGTTGAGATGGAGTTCCCTTTTTATGCGCTGCTATGTTAAGCGGCAATAATTGCCAGCTAATTGACTAACTATTCATAACTGTTAAATATAAGTTATATAATCAAAATTGATTAAAATATTTACCGGTAGTTAACAATATATAACTTTGTTTAAGACTTTACTCCATTATTTATAAACTTATTTCAAGTTTCATTGCCTTATAATAAATTTATTTCATCATAAATAGCGGTATACTTAACACATAACTATCGTATTATAATTGCAATATCAAGTTTAGAAAACATTTTAATAACAAAATCAATGCATTTATTGAATCAGAAAAAAACATTACAAAAATTATTGCCAATCATATTATATTAATACGAAAATAGTGGACATATTTGTGGTTATAATCCGTACAACATTTGAATAATACATACAATGAGTTCCTCGTAATCATTGGAGAAATTATCGTAAAAAACAATTTACAAGAAATAAATACATTTTACAAATGGTTTCACAAGTCGTTGAATTTGGGCGGTGTCTCAGATCTGGTGGCGGTGGCCGTGGATGCCTGGATGAGGTCATCACTTTGCAGCATGCACATGTTCCAGTTGGCCATGAACTCCAGGCCATCCCTGTCCGAGTGGTTAC